TTATTTCCGCCGCCCTTCCGAGCTTCCGCCGACCTTCCTCCGCCTTCCGCGGCGGAAGAGATGGCAACTCCTTCGATCCTCGAAGGCAAGGCCCTTCCTGGAACGCACCATGTGAAAAAGGACCGAGATGCCCCCAGAAAGAACCCTCAATCCGGCGCGACCTTCACTAGGAGCTCCCTCCTCACAATCGAGAAAACGACATCAGACTTCAAACATGCTGAATCCGCCGACCCCTTGGGGTTCATCGGCGTGTGAAATGTTTCTCCCTCCCTTCACCCCTCCCCCAGGAGCCCTGTCAGGTCGATTTGGAGAGGGGGGGTCTCCGGGGACCGGGCGAACGTGTCACGGGGGGACAGAGGGCCCCAGAACAAGGCCAAGAGGGCACCAAGAGGCCCTTTGGAAAGTCTAAGTAGGGCGACGAGATCTATGCATATCCACTGCTCCTGGCCAGGCCCATCCTGGGCCCAGGAGCGGTGGATATGCATAGATCTCGTCGCCCTGTCTAAGGGGGACACGAGCCGCCGAGAGATCGATCGAACACGTCCAGGTTGGCTTCCAGACGACCCAGAAGGCCCCCAAGACGCCCCAAGAAGCCCCAAGAGGCGTCCCAAGACGGCCTCAACCACCACACATCGTTCCACTTCCATGGGGCATCCACCATTTTTAGCACATTCGACCCTTGTGCGATCACAACATCCAAGACAGCCCAAAAAGCCTCCTGGATCGCCCTAAGACGGCCTAAGAGGCCCCCCAGAGGGCTCTACGACGACCCAAGCGGGGGGACAGAGGGCTCCAAAACAGGTCAAGAGGGCACCAAAAAGGCCCTTTGGAAGGTCCAAGAGGGCCATGAGCCGCCGAGAGATCGATCGAAAACGTCCAGGCTGGCCTCCAGACGACCCAAAAGGCCCCCAAGACGCTCCCAGAAGCCGTCAAGAGGCGTCCAAAGACAGCCTCAAAGAGCAAAGCTCGCCCAAACCTGCATGTTTCGCGCATTCGCCGTTCCTGCGATCATGACATCCCGAACAGCCCAAGAAGCCTCCTGTGTCGCCCCAAAACGGCCCAAGAGGCCTCCAAGAAGGCTCGCAGACGACCCGAAAGGGCTCCAAGACCGCTCAACGAAAACCCCACGACGGCCCAGGAGGGCCCCGCGACGGCCCCAAGAGGGGGTCCAGAAGGGGAGCCCGCGCGGACACTTCGAGCCCTCTACCCCGCACCGCAGCCGGGTTGTCCCAAGAAACCCCCGAAAGCCCCCCAAAGGTTCAACAACTGCTCCCCAAACGCCCCCGAAACGCCTCCCGCGAGACCCCGTTCGCCATCCGCGTGGCCTCCGACCCGCAGCCCAGGCGCGGGTGGCGGGATGTGCCGAAAACTGGTCGACAATCGCTCTTCTGGACATTGGACATCTGCCCGCTGTTCTCGCCAGTTCCCCTGTGCGTGCACGGCGAACATTGCAAATGTCAGCCGCAAGATTAGCTGCTGCCGATGCGGGCGGCGCCGCGATCGCCGTGCGCCCCGGGGGCATTTTTGGCGAGCGCGCGGCATACCGTTCAAGAGGGCCCCGACGCGCCCCCCACAGCTCGCTCCAGGACCCAAACGCCGGCTCCAAAACGGTTTCGTTGACAGGCGCCCGCTGAATGTGCACGCGGGTCCTCGTCCGTTTCCCCGCTCCTCTTCGCGCACGGCAGAGCGGCCCAAACAGGGCGCCAGCAGCATTCCAAGGCCGCGCCGAGAGGCAGCCCAACGACGATCCAAGGTGGCATCGAGACGGCACTCGACCCGCCCAGACGGCCCAGGACTCAAACCAGTGGCGCGTCGGAGACATTGTTTCTTGCTTTTCTTACGCGCACTTCAAATTAGAGGTATCGTTCCAAATCGAATCGGCACGGCCTGAAGACTGGCCCACGGGCGCTCCGCTCTCGTCCCATCGGATCCTTCCCACCTCCTGCCCCCTCCAACCACCTTCCCGACAAACTTCTCCTGAGCATCATCCCGACCACGCTTTCGAGACGAGTGCAGCTCCTGCGACGAAGGCCTTCTCGCGGCCTAGACGAATCCAATATCTACGCCCGCAAACAACATCCGGTCAGCGCTCTGGGCGTCGGTGGGTTAGGGGGAGCCTTTCGCCCAAGCTCCTGCTTCCCCTTCGGAAAAATGATCTACTCCTGCTCCGTATTCATAGACACCCACCCTCTCGACCGACGGCCAACCCGAAACAAAGACCCCCCCAACCATCCCGGCCATCACAATAGTTACAAGCAAGACGAAATGCACTTTGCGACATAACCCGGATCATCTTTGGGGTCCCACCCTCACTGTGTATTGGTCTGCTGCACGACCGCAGGAGGCATCATATTATCCCATGCGTGCAGGCCCACCATCCCTCTCAGGAAAAAACACTGCAATGTGCACGTGGCGGCAACATCCCCCGACCCCTTGGGGTGTCCCCAGCATGTGAGTCCTCCCCCGACCCCTCCACCCAGACCCTGGTCTGGTCGATTTGGAAGGGGGTCCGCCCAGATCCCCTGGGCCCGGCCCCACCGCAACACGGGAGGATAGAGGCCCCCACAACGAGCCCATAAGCTCCAAGAGGCCCCCAAGACTATCCAAGAGGGCCCCCAGTCGCAGACGGCTCCTCCAGGATGGCCAAGTAACCTCAAGACGGCCTAAGACGCCCCCAACACGCCTCCAAGTGCACTCCCAAGAGGGCCCCACGAGCCAACATTCATTGATTTCAGAATCCGTTTTTAAAGGAAATGACGCTCCACGACTGCCCAAGAGGCTCCCAAGATCCTCCTAGACGGCCCCAGAGGCCTCCAAAAGAGCCCCTAACCAGGAAAAAGAGAGCCCCCACACGGCCCCAAAGACGACCTCAGAGGCCTCCAGCATGGCCCCCAAAAAGACTCCCTAGACCGCCGCAAGAAGGGCCCCGGAGGGGAATCCGAGCCTGCATTTCGAGCCCTCGGCCCCCCGAGACCCATGAGAACCCTCCACGAAACTCCAAGAGGGCTCCCATGAAGCGCCCAAAACGGCACCAAAAAACTGCCCCAAAGCGCCCAGGAGGCTCTCAGGAGCAACCCGCCACAACCGCCAGTTCCTAGAGGGGCCGGCGGTGTGGCGTAAGCCCAAGAATCTTAGAGCAAGCTAATGCAAAACGGACCACCTGCGGAACAAGCTGTCACACACTACTCTCTGCAAATCAATTCGGTGCTGTGCATTGCCTTGCCTTGCAATGCTGTCCTTTACGTTGACATGCGTTTCGTCCAGACATTGCAAGGCCCTGCGCTGCATTTTATTTACACTTGTATTGCGTTGCTCTTCAGAAGGAGGTCCTACACTCCACCACCGCGCATGAGCGGGGCCATTCTAGGCCCTGGCATGATGTGTGTGTGTGTGTGTGTGTGCGTGTGTGTGTGTGTGTGTGTGTGTGTGTGTGTGCGCCGTCCTGGCCGAGGATGGGGGGCTTCTGTACCGCATCCGAGCACCCAAGACGGCCCTGCCACGATCAAAGCAACGCAAGGCCCTCCGTGAGCTGGCGGATCCAAAGGACGCGCTCGATGCCGGGGCCCTTCCAGAGTGCCCCGCAAGACCTCGGGGTGGCTCTGGAAAGGCCTGCTCGCATCCCCAAGCTGCCCAAGGGGAGGAAAACAGCGAACATGTTGCTGCGTGGGCATCGCGCGCCCGCCCCCTTACAGTGGGAGCTCGACCACAAGAAAACTCCCACAAGACACCCAAACCTGAGACCCCAGAACGTCCATTGACTTTTTGGTGTGGGAACGTCACGCTTTCCATAGCAAAACCATCGACATCCAAGAAAGCCAGGGCATCCTGGAGGCAAGCAAGGTGTCTCTGGCATGGTTTTCCACTGTACCCCGCCTGGAGGGCACACCGTGTCGACCACACGCCGGGCCGTGTCCGAACTCCAACCGCCAGTCTGGCAAAGCTTCCGTGCCTTGCCGAGGACCGTGCTGCCTGCCGAACGGAGCACGCCCCACGCGTATGCACGTCCCAAGAACTGTTCAAGGCCGCACCGACTCAGCTGCAATACACAGCCGTGACAAAAAAACTTCCAGTAGCTGTGGCAAAGAAATCTCCCATCCCTCTCAAGATTACTGACATGATAATCATGTCGTCATACGGCTGAGTAGTTTCCGATCCGCTTGATGCGTCTAATTCTTTTACCCCAGAACCTGATCCGAAACTACTCCGCGCCACACCCTACAACTTTCGACCAGGATGCGCCTGTGCGCGGAGTAGGTTGGAATACGTTTACTTCGAACTACTCCGCCCTGCTGCGCTATTGGTGAAGGCAGATTGAAAGAAACTTTCGTCACAGTGGTGTATGCCCTGAGACCAGCTGATGCTCTGAGATGCCCCGAGAGTCCCCCAAAAGGCGCCCAAGGAGGTCAGGACACACACATGAAGCACCAAAAGGATCAAGATGGTTCCAACAGCATGGTAGAGAGGACTGATACGCCCCCAGAAAGGCCCATCAATCCAGCGCGATCTTCATTAGGAGCTTCTTGTCACCAGTGGCCAGACAAATCAGACATGCTGTAGCAGCTGGGAACAAGGTATTGGCAACCTGACCACACATCGAAAAAGCTGCCACACACTACGGCTGTGCTGTGTTGTGCTCAACAAATCAATTTTGTGCGGTGCATTGCACACACTTAAAATGCCTTTCTCAGCTTTCCTTTACAGCTCGTTGCTTTTCTTCTCGTCGCATTGTCTTGCATTGCAAGGCGCGTCTTTGTTTTGAATTGCGCTGTGTTGCAAGCCATTCCAATGGATTGCATTTGCATCTGAATTACTCTTCAGGAGGAAGATCTTCGAAGAACAAAAGAAGATACTCCTCAAAGAACCCGTAGAACATCCTTAGGAAACCTGGTTTTAGGATACCCTGGCCGCCAACTTTCTCGCACAGGGAAGGCAACACCCCTGAGGTCAAACCAAGCTGGGGGAATACCTCAATGCGGCCAAAGGTGCCCCCCCAAAGCGCCCCAACACGGCCAACGACACAACATTAGCTCTGCAACCGTCGCTGGCCCCGTCTTTTCCACTGCTTTGACGTCCCAAGCTGTGCCACCCGCCAATCTTTCTCAATTCTGCGAGCCCGAAGTCATGCGCGCCAGCCATGTCAAGAAGAACCCATAGTCCTGTAGGCATCGCGACCGCTTAACAAGCATAATGTGTATGAACTCACCTGGCCTCAGAAACTTGAACTAGGCAAAGAATGCGACGTGCGATGATTGGGGAAAAGTTGTGTCTATCTCTAAAAAGAATAATAATCCACATGCATTTGCCTCCCGCTCACGTTCATGTCGTGGATCTCATTGTATGCGCGCTCTGCGGCAGTTGCGGTGAAATACTCGACGACGCCCATCCCTCGAGACCTCCCATCAGGTGTTGTAAAGAGCGTGAAACTTTTAATCGAGCCGACGTTCCCGAACTTCTCTCGGAGGAACTTCTCGGCAGTCTCGAAAGGAACATTCTTGAACAAGACCGACTTATTGGGATCCACGTCCGGATGGTCCTGTTGAAAGAACAAACTTACCACCGCATGCAGTGCCCGAAACGGTCATCCCTCTCTCTCACGCTTTAGTTTTGCAGACAGCTTACAGTAGACAGCCTCTAATAAAACTCACTTTGTGCAGACCGCCCGTGTGATGCGCAAAGACTTTTCGAATCATGTGAAAGGTTAGAAGGGGGAAAGGCGCTTGCGCGTGTCCCCCTCGGTCGGGCGTTGGGCAAAACAATCTCTTCGAGCTTCGACCGCCGTGTCCTCATCCCAACCCTTGCCGCCTTTCCCCCCGCCGATCGGGCCACTGGACCAATCGCCCTTGCCCTCCGGGCCGCTGGAAGTGTCCCACCCCAAGAAGAGGCTCCGGCCCTCGATGGTGATGCCGTAGTTGATGGCCTCCTCGGCGGCGCTGGCCGACTGGTAGATGCACACGCCCATGCCCCGAGAGGCCCCATCGCTGCGCTTGAACATCCTAAGCGACCGGACCTCCCCGAAAACCGCGAAGTGCTCCTGCACGGCAGCCGGTGGCACCTTGAAGGGCGCGCCGGAGAAGAAGACGCGGGCAGACCTCGGGAGCGCTGGAGCCATAAGTGAACACGTGCGACTCGTGCAGGATAACCCGAATCGTCCCCTCCACCGGCCGAATCTGCTCGCTGTGATCTGTTGGCCGTGCCTCCGATGGGATGACTTCGCACTCGCTACAAGTCGTCGCACGCACAGCAACAACATCGCCCTGGCTGGCAATACGCTGGCACATGCCGCATACACACACACACATATATATATATATATACACACACAAGACTGCAGTGGCGCTTCGCGCCATGCACCTTGGTCCTTGAAGTGTGGTATGCAGGCGGAATTGCAGGAACATCAAGTCGACAATTTAGCGATAACTCCTTGTTGCCTTTTTTCGGCATCGCCGCTATAATAATGTGATTCGTTCTCCTTCCTCCATGCTTCTTTTTCCGCATGTTCTCCACACCCTGCGCATTCTCCCCATCCTCCTCAACTCTTTTTTGCGGAGGCTCCTCCTTGGAGAGCCTCTGGGGGCCTCACAAAAGTTGTTTCAAGCTTTCTTAATGCTTTCAGGAGGCCTCCTGGGTGTATTCTGGGGGCCTCTGGGGGCTTCCCCGGGCCACCCTGCCTCCAACCGCGGTCTGCCCGAACGACCGGGTCACGATTTGGAATGCTTCGGAGGGTGTCTTGGGGCCATCTTGGGCCGCCATGGGGCTCTCTGAGGGTCATCTTGGACCCGTGTTGTGCCGTTTTGGGGCTCTCTTGGACTGCCTGGCAACCCTTTCGGATGTTTGTGGGGCGATTTTGGAGCCTCCCAGCCGGCTTCGGACGCCCAGAAGACCGCAGTCTTGGAGCGTCGGGAAGCCGAAAGGAGGAAAACCCGAAATTTCACCAAAAACCAACAAAAAACTAATGAGTTTTGCCTCTTGGGGCCTTCTTGGGAGTGCTCTTGGAAGCCTCTTTGGGGCCGTCCTGGAGGCCTCTTGGGCCATCTTGAGGTCACGTCGGTCACTCTTGGAGCGCTCTTGTGCTGTCTTGGGGGTCTCTGGGACGTTTCCGATGACCCCCCTGATCGCCCCAAGTGTGCTACGAAGGCTTGTCAAAACGCCCTGCGCGGCCCGGGGGGCCGCTTCGAGGCCCGTCCGGAGGGTTCCAAAGCCCCAGATCCCAGGAGTCCGGTTTGGGGGGGGGGGGTGACGGGTTTCCCCCCCGCCAGGGCTTATAAAAATATAGGAGGAGGAATCTCTCTCTCTCTCTCTCTCTCTCTCCTCTCTCTCTATATATATATATATATATATATATATATATATATTTGTGTATATATAAATACATATATATATATATATATACACAAGACTGCATTGGCGTTGCGCGCCATGCACCTTGATCCTTTGAATTTCGCACGCTAGCGGAGTGCGAGCGTGCGTACATGCGCACACACATGCGTCTGTGAATGCATAGTACATATGTGCATATATATATATATACACACGTTTGTATGGATATTTACATGTATATGCAAATGGTCAGTGTAACTATGTGTGCGCATGCACATCAGGCGGTAGTGGCCTGACCAGTCGCTCGTATCATCGCGCCACTCAAAGGCGCGAGGGTCTCAAGCAAACGTGGTCAGACTACCATGGGACAGTGCGTCGCCGAGGTCAGCGTTGCGAGGACGTCCCGGGTGAAAATGGCCTGAACACCTCCGCTCAGGGGAGGGCATATCCGAAGTCAGTCGTGCGAGGAAGTTTCAAGCGAGGAGTTGTCTGAACACCTCTGCTCAGGGCATCCTTGAACTTAGAGTTGCGAGAAGTCGCACGCGAAAGTGGCCGAACCACCATGGTGCAAGGCACCTCCGGAGTGAGACTCGCGAGAGCGTCTCAGGCGACAGCGGCTGGAACACCTCAACTGAGAGTGTCTCGGGCCCCAGAGCTGCGATGATGTCTCGAGCGAGAGCGGCGGGACCGATGCGAAGCAAGGCGCTTCTGAGGTCGGAGTTGCGAACATATCTCTGGCGAAATTTATTAGACTACTTTCCTTTATCTCTTCTCCCTCCTTCCCCTTTTGCTTTCCTCCTCCTCCTCCCCTCCTCCCCCTCCTCCTCCTCCTCCTGTTCCTCCTCCTCTTCCCCCCCCCTCTCCGCTTCTTTTTTTGTCCATTCCCCCCATCCCTGGCGGCGCGGCGCGGTGCCGCTCGGCCTCTCTGCGAGTCAAGCGGATGATGAGGAGGAGGAGGAGGGGGAGGAGGAGGAGGAGGAGGGCATTGCAAGGGTTCGCGCGGCCGTGAGTCCCCAGGGAGTGTTTCCCCAGGGTGCATGCTGAAACCGAAGGTTCCCGACGGCCTGATCTCCGAAATGTCGCGAAAACCCTGGTTCCCAACAGCGCGTCCGGATGAGATGGCGTCGTGGCCCGACGGTTTGCATTGAGTGTTGCGAGAAGCTCAGTCGAGGCAGGAGGAGGAACATGAAGAGGATGAGGAGAAGGAGGAGGCAGAGGAGGAGGATGAAGAGGAGGAAGAGGACATATTATGTGGATATCTGGGGTGCAGCCGAGGTGGCGCGGAAGAAATCCGCAGCAGAGATTTGGGAGAGTGAGGAGAGCTGCTTCTGCTAGACCTTTGGCGGGGCGGAACGTGAAACATCACGGGGAATTAGGAGAAGGGGGAGGAGGAGGTAGAGGAGGAAGAGAATGAGGAAGAGGAGGAGGAGCTCTTGGGTCCTTCGGTGGTTTGAACGGAAAATGGCCTCGCTGCGCCATTGGACACAACAGCGACGACGACGAAGAAGGCGACGACAAAGAGAAGGGATAATGAGAGGGGGATACAGCTGTGTTGGGATCTCGTGGTGCGCCTCTCGGGGCCCTCTGGGAGGCAGTTTTGAAGCGTCTTGAGGGTGTTTTGGGGTTCTTGGGATCTTTGCGGGGCCTCTTGGGGGCTCCTTGGGGCCTCTTGGGAGCCTCTTGGGGCCTCATGGGGCTCTCTCCGGGCCTCTTAGGGCCCTCCCGCGGCGGAAAATTTAGTTTTTGAATTTTTGGGCGCCCTCTTGGGTCTCTCTTGGGGCCGTCTTGGTGCTTTCTTGGGCCGTCTTGGGCGCCCTCGGAACCCTCCTGGACCGTGTTGGGGCCTTCTTGGGGGCCTCTTGGGCAGTATTGGGGCGATCTAGGGAGCCTCTGGGGCCATTGTGGAGCGTCGAGAAGCGGGAAAAGCGAGAAGGCCAAAAACATCGAACAACACACAGGAAAATCAACAATTGTAGCCTCTCGGGGCTCTCGGGGCTCTCTTGGGAGGCCTCTTGGGGGTCTCTGGGGGCGTTTTGGACGCGTCTTGGGCAGTCTTGGGCCCAGATTGGGCGTCTTGGGCCGATCTTTGGGTGTCTCGGGGCCCTCTTTGGCCGTCGTGGGGGCTTTTTTTTCGCGTCGCACTCGCAGGACAGACACGAAACACTCTGCAGGAACGCCCCAAAGGCTTGGGGAGGCCGAAATTCGTTTGGGGGGGGGGGGGGGAGTGGGCACCGTGTGCCGCTTTTCCGGGGTCCCCGGCCCTGTAAAAATATATAAATAGGAATCTACAAGACTGCATTGGCGCTTCGCGCCATGCACCTTGGTCCTCGAAGTTTGGTGTGCAGGCGGAATAGCAAGAAGGTCAAGCCGACAATTTAGCGATAACTCCTTGTTGCCTTTTTCTGGCATCGCCGCTATAATAATGTTATTCGCTATCCTTCCTCCATGCTTCTTTTTCTTCATTTTCGCCATACCCTGCGCATTCTCCCCATCCTCCGCAGCTCTTTTTTGCGGAGGCTCCTCTTTGGAGAGCCTCTGGGGGCCTCACAAAAGTTGTTTCAGGCTTTCTTAAGGCCTTCTGGAGGCCTCCTGGGCGTATTCTGGGGGCCTCTGGGGGCTTCCTCGGGCCACCCTGCCTCCAACCGCGGTCTCCCTGAACGACCGGGTCACGATTTGGAATGCTTCGGAGGGTGTCTTGGGGCCATCTTGGGCCGCCATGGGGCTCTTTGCGGGTCATCTTGGACCCGTGTTGTGCCGTTTTGGGGCTCTCTTGGACTGCCCGGAAGCCCTTTCGGATGGTTGTGGGGCGATTTTGGAACCTCCCAGGCGGCTTCGAACGCCCAGAAGACCGCCGTCTTGGAGCGTTGGGAAGCCGAAAAGAGAACCCCAAAATTCACCAAAAACCAACAGAAAATCAATGATCTTTGCCTCTTGGGGCCTCCTTGGGAGTGCTCTTGGAGGCCTCTTTGGGACCGTCCTGGAGGCCTCTTGGGCCATCTGGAGGTCACGTCGGTCACTCTTGGAGCGCTCTTGTGCTGTCTTGGGGGTCTCTGGGACGTCTCCGATGACCCCCATATCGCCTTAGGTGTGCTGGGAAGGCTTGGCAAAACGCCCTGCGAGGCCCGGGGGGCCGCTTCGAGGCCCGTCCAGAGGGTCCCAAAGCCCCAGATCCCGGGAGTCAGTTTTTTTTTTGGGGGGGGGGGTGCACTTTCGCGTTCCGCCCGGATTGTAAAAATAGATAGAAGGAAATATATACACGTGTATATTTACACACATCTGTAACTATACATGTGGATATCTGTATACCTCCTGGCAAAACGAACGAGGTACTGCTTTGCTGGATAGCATTCTCACCTTTACCCGGCGACACAGCAAGATGTCTATCAAGGGCCATCCGAGGGCGCTTAGGAGAGGCCCAGACGACGGGGCCACTGGCCGAGGATGCGGCCCGCAAGGTTGCATAACGTTTCGGCTGCCCGAATCGTGAACGTGAGCCTCTGAGCCACGTCGTCGGAACTCCTGGGGTACAAGGGCGGCCGCAGCGCTGGCGGCACAGTCTGCTGCCTCGCTCCCTCGGCGCCTCCAGCGCTCTGGAGATGAGATTCCCTGCCCCGCGGGGTCAAGGTGTACCTCAAGCCGGGCCACAACCACGATGGCGTCCGCACCGAGACGGGGAATTCATCACCAGTCCAGCGTATGAGCGCTTGTCGGAGAACTGGACTCCTTGGGAGCCTTCTTTGGGCCCACCACATTCTTATCACCGCTGGAAACGAGAAGACTGACCGTCACCTCGATGCCCGCTCGAGCCAGCGAAACGTGTTCGGCGCGCTTCGGGATCGGAGTGAACGGGGCGAACACGGGGGCGTAAATAGTGCACCGCTCGGCCCCAGCATCGCTGAAGAGGGTGAGTCCGTAGCTAACTCCCGAAAACTCGGCGATCTCATGCATGTGGCTGCTTCCGTCTACGAGCATAGGCCCGCTAAAATCGCCATCGTCGGGGTAACATGCCGCGCCTTCCTGGCCCTGGATGTCGGACCTTTCCTGGGCTGGCCTGGGAAACTCGTCTCCTGGGTGAGGGAACAACCCACGGTAACACAATACGTCAACCAGGGGGCCGATCGGATCCACTGCGTTGGCCTCTAACGAAATATCTTCGTCGACGATCTCGCCCCTGACTGAATCGAAACTGTCACCATCAAGTATACTATGACAATGCACGCGCACCTCAAAATCAAAATGGCTGTGCGTGCTACCTGATCAATCCCAGAGGATCGTGGGAGAGAAGGGGACATGAAAACACATGGGGCACCGATCATCCATGGCCATCCTTGACCGATCGGCTGTTGGTCCACAGAACATCGCACTCCAGACTGCGAATCGATTCTTCGGACTTCCCCGACCACCATTTCGATCGGAGCTGATTATGAACGACGTCGAACCACAACCGAGCGTAACTGAGCACAAGGATTGAGAAGGGATGAGAAACGAGGGAGGAGCGAGACACCTTGCCTCAATGCGGCCCCGTGATCGCTCACGATACGATGGCCCGCTCCCGATCACGATCCAGCTGGCCCGATCTATCACGAAGCGAGGGGCTCTACGCCGATGCCCCGATCGACCCGTCGGCGACCTGATCGGGCTCTGATCGACAGGTCGGGGCCTTCTGAGCAGTGGACTGCTGATTGTTCCAATCGCCCCCTTTCGCTGAATACTCGAACCCCTTCGCGCCGCCAATGGGGCCCTTTGCGCCCTTGCCACCGCCATGCTCGCCCTCCCATCCGCCCTTCCAGCCGCCGTTCTTCCCGCCCTTCCAGCCGCTGTAGCTATCACCGCCCTTGCCGGCCTCCCATCCGCCGCTCCACTCGCCCTTCCCGCCCTTGCCCTTCTCGCCGGCCTGCTGCAGGTGTCCCTGGTCGTCTATCTTGACGTAGAGCTTCCTGCCGCCGACCTCCATGCCCGAGAAATGCTCGACTGCCTTGTTAGCTTGCCTCGCCGTCCGGTACTGAGCCACGCCCATCCCCCGCGAATTGCCATTCCAATCAGAAAAAAGCCAGAACTGCACGACTGGGCCAAGCTCCTGAAACTTACTCCGCAGCTCGTCGGCGGTAGAATCGAAAGACGCACCAGCAAAAAATCCGCAGACCCCCGCTGTCCGGGGTGAAGAGGCGTGTGGGATGATTTGCTGTCGCCCCCTCCTCCTTCTCCTCCTCCTCCTCCTCCTCACCCTCCTCCTTATCCTCCTCCTCCTCCTCCTCCTCCTCCTCCTCCTCCTCCTCTTCCTCCTCCCCCTCTCCTATTCCCCTGGGATGGTCCAAAATCCCTTTCGGGGGGGGGGGGGGCACGAGCTCCCCAGCGCACCTCTAGCACCCTCGGAGCCTCATAATCACACCCCCCTCCCGTGGCCGCCGACATGCCCACACTGCTTTCTAGTATGAGTTCCAGAAAGGTCCGAACACGCCGGGGAGGCCACAGGAACGCCCAATAGAGCCTCGAGACTGCCCAATGCGCCAAACGAGGGCTCCAAGAGGACCCCCAACAGAGCCTCAAGAAGCCCGAATCGTTGATTCTCCATGACTTTTTATTTTTCTGAGTTCTCGCAAATTCGGGCATCCTCAAACTCAAAACGGTGCGAGAGGCCTACCAGACTGGCCCAAGACGGCCCAAGAGGCCCCCAAGAGGGCCCCAAGACAGCAACAAAAACCCTGAAGAGGGCCCCACGTCCCGAGAGAGACCAAATAGGGAACCCGCAGGGACCCTGGGAACCTCCCACCAAAGGGTGCCCCCAGGATGCCCCCAGAGGGCTCCCAAAAACCCCCAGGCCTTGATAAAGGCTCCACGAGGCCGCCCCCTGGGCCTTCAAGAGGCCCCCAAGAGACCCTGCAACAGACGCGGAGGAAGAGGATAACAAATCATCAACAAACGATGGGAAGTGTTACACAAACACGAAATCGGAAGCCTCACATCTCCTCCTCTCGATTTCGGCGGACTGGTGTAAGCCTTTTGAATATAGTCCTTTCGTCACAATTCTCGTCCGCTCTAGATCTTCCGCTTCCCCACTCTTGCCATCCCTTGCTTGAGGAACCTTTGTCATTCTTACCGCCCTTGCCACCTTTGCTGTGGCCCTTGTCATCATTTTTCCCCTTTCCTGCGTCTTTGCCGCCCGAATCTCTGTCCCTACCTTTCCGCTTTGCGGAACCCTCCTCGTTGTCCTCTCCGCGTTGGTCCACCTGCAGCATCACCGCTCGTCCATCAATTTCGCGATTGTGAAGGGTACTCAAAGCCTTCTGTGCCGTCTCGTGTGAAGCATACTTGACTCGACCCATACCCATGGATCTTCCGTCTTGGAGACGGAAAAGCGTGAACTCCTCGACCGTGCCGATTTCCTCAAACGTCGACTTCAACACGGCCTCCGCGGTATTAAAGTTGGCCCCAGCGAAGAAGACACGAACGAACTCGTCCTTGCCTTCGCCGTCGCCATTATTGGTCTTCGTCTTGGTCGGCACGTGCTCTATCCCGAGCAGCTGGCAGATCTCCGAGTCGGAGCAGTACAGCCCTAGCTCGGACTTGTCGTCTAAGACGTTCATGATGACCGCCATGGTTATCCCAGTCTTCGGCTCAAGGTAGTGCTCGGAGCACAGCAGCTCGTACTCCTCGGCAGACAGAAGCCCCGTCGCGCTCTCAAGGGGCATGGGGCCAAAAAACAATCAAACAGACCACGCAAAAACCCAACCACCGGTTGACACACATCGACCCGATAACACTTCAAGTCATTCTCGGGCGCACGCTAGCACGGAGTAGGGATCCGTAAATCTGGCGCGTGCGCGCCAGATCCACGGATCGGGGGAAGCGCCCCCCGAAACCTGAAGCCAACGCCGCCTGATCTGGCGACGGATCGCGCCGATGGAAACGGAACCCGTCGCCAATCCACGCGCATCAATCCGTGTGTCTGCGCTTCCTCGAATCTTGCCGGCCCTGCCAAAGATTCTCTGCCCTTTGTGCCTCACGCCCTCTCCCCGAAAATTCAGAGCGCCATGGACGAACGAAAACGACTGGAGCTCCGGACCCCAACATCCACGATCGACTTCTCGAGCTGGATCGACCCTTGAGGGTCCAGGAGCCCGAGCACCAAGAGTAGGAGGAGGATGAGGAGGAGGGAGGAGGAGGAGGAGGAGGAGGATGAGGAGGAGGAGGAGGAGGAGGATTGGCCCTCCATGCCCGTCGTGATTTTTTTCAGGGCGCCTGGGTCGGAGAGGTCTCCCCTCATAGCCGGGCCTCGCCGCAGGATCTCGGGGCGAGCCCAGCCGCGGCGACGACGAAGGCCCCCCCGGGAGGCCCAGGGAGGAGCAACACAAGATCACTCACTCGTTCTCTCCTTCCACCTCGTCGTGGACGTCGTCGTCGTCCTCCTCCTCCTCCTCCTCCTCCTCCTCCTCTTCCTCCTCCTCCTCCTCATCCTCCTCCTCCTCCTCCTCCTCCTCATCCTCCCCCCTCCTCTCTTCCTCCTCCTCTCTCCTCCTCCTCCTCTTCTTCTTGTTCTTCCTCCTCCTCCTCCTCCTGCTCCTCCCTCCTCCTCCTCCTCCTCCTCTCCTCCTCCTCCTCCTCCTCCTCCTCCTCCTCCTCCTCCTCCCCCTCCTTCCTCCTCCCCTCCTCCTCCCCCTCCCTCCTCCTCCTCCTCCTCCTCCTCCTCCTCCTCCTCCTCCTCCTCCTCCTCCTCCCTCCCCTCCTCCTCCTCTCCTCCTCCTCCTCCTCCTCCTCCTCCTCCTCCTCCTCTCCTCCTCCTCCTCCTCCTCCTCCTCCTCCTCCTCCTCCTCCTCCTCCTGGGTCCATGAAAGCATCTTTTTCGAGCTGCGTCCAGCCGTGGCGGCAATAACGTTTCTGTCTCACGGCGCCAGGGAACCGAAAGCCTCTGGAGCGGGCTCGGGAACCAGCCAGGCCGGTCCTCGGACCACTCGTCCGCGGAGCCCTCGAAGCCTGGGGCGCGGCCGGGCTTCACGAGAGGGGGGGGTGGATGATGAGGATGAGGATGAGGATGATGAGGAGGAGGAGCAGAAGGAGGAGCAGGAGAAGGAGGAGTAGGAGGACGAGGAGGAGGAGGAGGATGAGGAGGAGGACAAGGAGGAGGAGGAGGAGGAGGAGGAGGAGGAGGAGGAGGAGGAGGAGGAGGAGGAGGAGGAAGAGAAGGAGGAGACCCAGTGTAAACCGAAGACGCATCAACGATGTTGCGATGCACCCTTCCACCATGTTCCCTCTTCATAGGTCCCTACAAAAACTTCTTGTCATTACGGGAAGTACCCACTGAAAGACAACCGTCTGAGATTCCTCAACCGTGCCAAAACACAATTCCAGGGACTTCAACGCAACGAATCAACGAGAATGTTGCGCCCTGACAATCCTAAGTCGTGCCAGAATTCCAGTCCTTGGGCTTCGACACCACGAATCAACATGACTGTTGTGTCCTGCCAACTCTACATCGTGCCAGAACGCCATTCCTGGGACTTCAACCCTACGAACCCTTTGTACGGCTGTAAACTTTTAAAACGGATTCGCGCGGCGCCAAAGCGAGAAGTGCATTTTGCAAAGGTACCGCATTCCAGCCTTGAAGCTGCTGCAACAACGAATATACGCTCGACGCGTAGGCGAGAACTACATTTAGAACACGACCCGCCCTCCATCCTTGAACCGGCTGCCAAACTCTTAACATTAATGTCACCGCATTTACAATGGTACCGCATTCCAGTTTTGAAGCTGCAGCAACAAATAAAGTGCATTTTATTTGATCGGCGCGTGGGCGTGAGCCGCATTTAAAAAACGGCCCACCCTTGAAGCGGTTGAACATTCTTAAAACGAATGTGCGCGGCGCTGACGCGGCACTCGCATTTTGAACACGACCCGCCCTACATCACTGCTGCAAGCTTCTAGAACAAATGTGCGCGACGTTCAAGCGACATCACACTTTGAAAACGACCCGCCTCTCATCCTTGAAACTGTCGCGAATCTCAAACTTCAAGATCATACATGGTGAGGGCGTCTCAGGCGAAACGCCCGGCCCGCCCTACGGACACGTCTGAGGGTGCGACAGTCAAGAGTTATTGAGAACGGAAAACGATGCAGGCGGAGGAGGATGGGGAGGAGGAATAACAGTTGGACGGGAGGGGAGCAACGTGGGGCGGCCAGAACTCCTTGTCCTACGCCTCTTCCTCCCGCTCTTGCTCCAGCTCCTGCTCCTGGTGCTGCTCCCGCTCCTGCTCCTCCTCCTCCTCCTGGGCGCCGCAGCGCCATCGGGCAATCCCACTCCGCGGCGGCGCGGTGTGGCGCGCCAGCTCTGCCTCTCTCCCATCCCATGCCAAGTTGCGCCTGGCGGCGGGGCGTGCGCTCGCGCCTTGGTCTTGTCCCCGCCCCACCCGGAGCGACGCCCCGAACCTACCCCAGGGGAAGCAAGGAAGGCCGCGCCCAAGCCCCACGGGAAGCCCCCTTTCGGCCGGCCGCGCGCGCCGACGTGCTCGGCCAGCACTCTCATCTCGGCCTTGTTGAGGAAGCCGTCCCCGTCCTTGTCGCACTTCCGGAAGAGCTGCTGCTTCAAGGCCTCCCTCTGGGCGTCCATGGGCGCCCCCTGGGCGAGACAGCTCGGTAGGTCAAGGATGGGGTCCTGAGAGACGAGGTCCTGAGGATAAGAAAAGACCCCAGTTTGTCTGAGGCACCTCGTCCTTGGGACCCCCTTCCTCAGGACCCCACCCTTGCACCCCCGAGCGGCGGCCGGGGATTGCTGGGGACGGAGCCGGCCGGCGGAGATGCACAGCAGCGGGGGGCCGCTGAGTCATGGCGAGAAGAACCGATACGGTGCGAGCGCCGCTCGGGGAGTGAGACAGCACAAATGTTACGGCGGGCCTGTCCCCCTACAGGGGGATGTTGGGCGACACATTTAAAAGATACTAGAAAATTAGCCTGGCGAAGGACCCAACCATATGCAGTTGTGAATACCGCAATTGTGAATACCATCTTTGCCCGCGCTCCCTATGTGGCCACAGCTTCCCGCCGGAACCCGACATGCTCAGGAACACGTTCGTGACCGTCTTCGCGAGCGCCGACGACGACAAGGACGGCGTCCCTCTGACCGAGGAGCAGAAGCAGAAGAGGGCTTTGATAGCCATGAGGGAGGAGATGGCGTTGCACGTCGACAAGGCGGAGTACGACGCCCAGGCGCGGTTGTTGAAGCAACACAACTATGGGGCCACGATCCTCGTGAGTGGTGTGCCGCAATGGCCCGGGGCCGCCATGCGAACCCCGCCACTGGCGCCTTCGGTGGAGCTCCCTGAGGGGTGTGCCGAAATGGCCCGAGGCCGCCATGCGAACGCTGCCACTGTCGCCTTCGGTGGAGCTCTCATGGGGCCACGATCCTCATGAGAGATGTGCCGCAATGGCCCAGGGCCGCCATGCGAACCCTGCCACTGGCGCCTTCGGTGGAGCTCCCTTATGGGACCACGATCCTCGTGAGGGGTGTGCCGAAATGGCCCGAGGCCGCCATGCGAACCCTGCCACTGGGGCCTTCGGTGGAGCTCCCTATGGGGCCACGATCCTCGTGAGGGGTGTGCCGAAATGGCCCGAGGCCGCCATGCGAACCCTGCCACTGGCGCCTTCGGTGGAGCTCCCTATGGGGCCACGATCCTCGAGAGGGGTGTGCCGAAATGGCCCGAGGCCGCCATGCGAACCCTGCCACTGGGGGCCTTCGGTGGAGCTCCCTAAGGGGCCACGATCCTCGAGGGGGGTGTGCCGAAATGACCCGAGGCCGCCATGCGAACGCTGCCACTGGGGGCCTTCGCTGGAGCTCCCTATGGGGCCACGATCCTCGTGAGGGGTGTGCCGAAATGGCCCGAGGCCGCCATGCGAACCCTGCCACTGGCGCCTTCGGTGGAGCTCCCTGAGGGGTGTGCCGAAATGGCCCGAGGCCGCCATGCAAACGCTGCCACTGGCGCCTTCGGTGGAGCTCCCTATGGGGGAACGATCCTCGTGAGGGGTGTGCCGAAATGGCCCGAGGCCGCCATGCAAACGCTGCCACTGGAGCCTTCCGTGGAGCTCCCTATGGGGCCACGATCCTCGTGAGGGATGTGCCGAAATGGCCCGAGGCCGCCATGCGAACGCTGCCACAAGGGCCTTCGGTGGAGCAAGGGCCTTCGGTGGAGCTCCCTATGGGGCTACGAAACGCTGTACTGGGTGGGTGAAACGCAGGGAGGAGGGAGGAGGAGAAGGAGGAGGAGGAGAGGAGAGGAGAGGAGGAGGAACGCGGGGCGACGTCTCTTCAGAACGAGGACCCAACACCACAGGATGGTTGGGAAATACTCCCCAGATGCTCAAAAGTAGTAAGCAAATAGTCTCCATATTATTTCTAGACTATTTTTGAATTTCCCTCCTGTAGAGGGACAGGCCCGACTGAACATAAATGTGCAATTTTAATGTGGCGAGCGTCCGCTGGGAAGGTGAGGTTCCCATGGCCAACCATGGTGAGACCCCGGCGATGTCTGAGACGCGCATCGGCGACCATGATGATACAGGATGAGAAAGAGCGAGAGAGGGCGAATTGTACATTGGACAATGCACTTTCCAGAACCTCCGTGCTCGAACCACTTTGAGAATCTCCGGCTCACAATCATATTCAAAATAACTTCAAAAGACAAGATGTCGGACCGATCTCAACATCTTCATACGCGGCACCAGCAACAAAAAACACCAGGCGAGTCCAACGGCGGTCTCAAGCGGCCTCAAAGGGTTTCAATCAACATGCCACGAAGTCCTCGGCGCCGCGCACGTCCGCGCGTCTCAGAGAGTCCCAGAGTGCGGCGAAATCCTTGTAGCCAGTTGCATCCGCACGTCTCGCGGGATCTTTAAGTTCCAAGTGCCACGAAACCCTTGGCGCCCGTCACGTCTGCAGGTCTCGTGAGGTCCCAAAGTGCCACGCAGCCCTCGGCGACGACAACATCCGCGCGCCTCAGAGGGCTTCAAAGTGCCACGGAGCCATCGGCGACACGCACATCAAGCGCCCGCGCGGCTCTCGCAGGAGGTGCCGGTCGGGGAATCCGCGGGCACGACGAGAGCACGGCATCGGCACCACGCTGCACGCACGCATGCAAATTCACAAGCTCGAGTCGATGCAAGCACTCTGGGAAACAAGCGTGCGATCATGGAGTCGCCGAGGACACACGGTACCGGTGGAAACTCCACGACGACGCCACGAATAGCGCGGCCGCGAGACTCCAACGCGTGTCTTCTCCATCTGCAGCCAGCCGCGCAAAACGCTACGGGTTTGAGGCAGCTCGCCTGCCGTCCATGCAGTGAGCGGAAGCGTGAAGGCGAAGGTCATAAAGCAAAGAAGCCACCTCCATCCGTGCCACTTTTGGGATACGGTATCAAGCGACAGCTTGGCTTTGAACTGGAGCCGCCCCCCACTCCTGTAGCGGTTGGGACCTTCAAACCCAGAACAGCAAACTATCTGGGGGGCAGGCCTCCACCTGTGCAGCTGTTCGGAGTTTCCAAGTCTTGGCTCATACAATCGCAGGGCATCCCTGGTGAGGGCTCGTCTTGACAAGGAGCAGCCCTTCATGTCATGCATCTGCAAGGGATGTTTGAGATGAGTGTGTACGGCGCTGTGACGAGAGCCACATTTTCAAGAGGTGTCCACCCTCTGTTTGCGCTTGCGCGACGGGGCAAGATGCAACACATGTGGGCGGCGCCAAGCCGACATCCGCAAATAGGAACATCTCGGCACTCCGGCCGAGTGGATATTGGGGTTCTCAAAATCTACATGCGGTCGTAAAATGCGAGGCATCAGGCGACACGACAAGAGCGCCCTACCGCCACGTCTGGCGGTTCGATGACGAGCACACGAGGAACTATGATTACGCACACTTCAGACTAAGAGCGCAGACTCTGCAAGTCTCGTTTTCTTAATTCGTGGTGTAGGTCTAGGTCTGAGAAATCAGCAGCGAACTGCAAAACAACAGAAAGAACACGAACGGGCGGCTGAAACAACGAAGCCGAAGGAACGGGGACATATATGACACTAGTGATGTAAACCGATCACTCATCGGCAAGGGACTACACATTTTTTAAATAGTATTTGTGTGTAAACACACATATACATATACATATACATATACATATACATATGCATATACACATACATATACATATACACACATACTTATATTTTTATTACCCGGACCCCCCCCCACCCCCCCCGGCCGGACCCCCCCCTAAAACGGATCCTTCCCCCAGGGACGCTCCGGACGCCCTTTCGGACGTTTTGGCGGCCCCCTGGACGCCCTTGGAAAAGGTTCGGTGGCCTTTCCGGGCCTCCCAGGGCGCCTCGCTGGGCCTTGCGAGCCGACTGAAGGCGATTAGAGGGGTCGTCGGAGAGGCGCAAGGGAGACCCAAGACAGCGCAACAGCGCTCCAAGAGGAACCTCGATGGTCTGAAGACGGCCCAAGAGGCTCCCAAGACACCCCAAGAGGCCGTTAAGAGAGCCCTGAAGAAGCCCAAATCGTCACATTCCCTCAGGAAATACATTTGTTGTGCATATCCGCTTTTTGGGTCTTCGCAGCGTCCAAGACGGCCCAATGGGCCCCCAATCTCGCCCCAAGACGGCCCGGGAGGCCCCCTAGAGGGGTTGAAGGCGGCCCAGGGAGGCCCCAAGACTGCTCCCAGAGAGCCCCGAGACTGCCCACAAGAAGCCCAAGATGCCCCCAGAAGGCTCCCAAGAGAGACCCACGAAAGCCTTGGGATACCTCCAAGAACGCCACTGGAAGCCCGCAAGAGGGTCCTAGATGGCTTCAGAAGACCTCTGGAGGGCCCCAGCTCCCCAAGGCGGCCCAAGAAGCCCCCAGGACGGCACAAAAGAGCACCAAAAACGACCAGACGGCGTTCTCCTACGAAATACATCAAGCTGACCCGACGATCTTGGTTCCACGTTTGAGGCTCGAGGTTTCAGTAGCTACCCGATCGAGAGAGACAGGCAATGGATCTAGATTCGAAATTCGACGATCGAAGATTTCCTGAGTGCCTGGAGCCCTCCAGGCATTCGGGAAGCGATCAAAAATCCATGTGTTCGGAGCTACTGTGACTTCTTCGGCGTGTCATGGGAACGCTCCTTACTTCCTCAAAGGACCTTCGCGCGCGAAAAGATCAGCATGATTTCCCAACTCCTGCGCACAAGCGTGCCAGCGCATCGTCCGAAAGCGGTGTCAGCAGGCACCCAGGATATCGGAAAAATGGGCGGGTCGCCCGTCCAGGCTTCGAGGTCCTCCCTGCTGAAGAAAGCGATGATTTATTGCTTTGCCAGGGAAGCGTCCGGAACAAGGCGCATGGCGCGAAGCGCCAATGCAGTCTTGTATATATATATATATATGTACTTATATGTAACATATATGCTAAGAAGAAACCCCAGGCGCATGGCGCGAAGCGCCAATGCAGTCTTGTATATATGTAGATATATATATATATATATATATACATATGCTAAGAAAAAACCCTGGCTCTGAGGGAACTACTTTAATCTCCATGCACTGGCTTGGTGCACCAGGGGGCGGGGTGGGGGAGGGGGAGGGGCGGGGAGGAGAGCAAAGAGAGGCAGGGTGATGACGACTAGGAGGGGGAGGGGGAGGGGGAGGAGGACAAGGAGGCGGAGGAGGAAGAGGAGGAGAAAGCGGAGGAGGAGGTCGCGGCGGTGACTGCAGCACACACGTGCCCCAGACCGCCGCGCGCGGGCGGCAACGACAGCGGCGACGGAAGACAACGACGGCAGGCGAGACGACAGCGAGAGAGGACACGTCTCATGGGCCCGCTGGCAGGGGCAGGGGGAGGGAGGGAGGGAGGGCGCGCAGGCGTTCCTATTGGCACGGCGTCGCCCTGGGCGGGCGACCGGCGCGAGGCGTGGGCCAAGGCACCCCCTCTCCCCTCAGACGCGGAGCAGGATCAGAAGGTGGGAGGTGGACGATGACGATGACGATGATGACGACGATGATGGTAATGGTGATGGTGATGGTGATGGTGATGGTGATGATGATGATGATGATGATGATGATGATGATGATGATGATGATGATGATGATGATGATGCTGTGATGATGATGATGCTGACGGGGATGGTGATGATGCTGCTGCTGATGATGATCACGACGATGACGATGACGATGACGATTATGACGACGACGGCGATGATGCTGCTGCTGCTGATGGCGATGCTGATGATAACGGTGATGCCGATGGTGGCGATGACAATGATGATGCTGATGATTGTGCTGCTGATGATGTTGATGATGCTGGCGATGGTGAAATGAGGATGATGCTGATGATGCTCATGATGATGCTGATATTGATGATGATGATGATGATGATGATGATGATGATGATGATGATGATGATGATGCTGGTGATGATGACGATATTACTGCTGCTGTTGATGATGATGCTGATGCTGATGATGCTGGTGATGACGACGATGACGGCGGTGGTGGTGCTGCTGCTGCTGGTGATGATGATGATTTTTTTGGGGGGCAGCGCAGCAAAGCAGGAGGGAGAAGCCGCTGCCCCTCAAGGGGGGCTATCCCGCACAACGGGCACGGACGACGACACGCCAGGCTGGTGCAGAGCATCGCCGAGACCGTCAACAGCCCTGCTCCACAGGCCGTCCTGCGAGCGCAGCCGAGACACCGCCCGATCGAAGTCGACCACGGGTCGAGGATATCAAAAACCGGCAATCGCCCTGGACTCGGGTAGAGGGGAAAGGAGGAGGGGGGAGGGGAATAGAAGAGAGAGGAGAAGGGAAAGCTGCATCAAAGAGTTGTGGGTGCATTTCCCCATGAATTTCCCCATGATCCGAACGACCATTCGTATAACCGTGCACCACACAAACCCAATCAACGAGACGCATCACAATACAGAACATGGCACAAGATCGGAACGTGCCCCTGTTTCCTGACATGCCACAGCGGAGAAACCAGAAGAGGAAGGGAGGGAGGAAAGGAGCAAAGAAAGGGAGAAAGAAAGGGGAACAGTAATGTTGGGTGTACGCACTCGCCAACTATACATGATGAAACTGGAGGTGGGCACTGCGGTGCCCAGCAAACGCGACGCTGCTCCGCAGCGGCCGACAAGGGCAAGCCTGGGCGACCAAAGCGGCCCAGGGTCGGCCAGTGGCGGCCGCAGGCACCACCGCGCAATGCCCGCGCAGGCATTGGGAACGAAGCTACGAATTCAGGGGAGGAGGGAGGTGACGACGACGAGGGAAGGGACGACGACGCGGAAAGGGGAGGAGGAACGTTCCAGCCGAGGGTCGTCTTGAACTACGCGCCCTCCAGGCGTGAGGCACGCATCCGAATGCCAGCAGTCGTGCACAACTTCCGCCCAGGAGCGTGTAAATCAGAAGCTGCTTCCTCGGATGACCCCCCCGCAGGGGGGCCGCAAACCCGAGGAAGACAGGGGACCGCCACCCTGTCTTCCTCGGGCTTGCGGCTCGTGACACTGATTGTGGTGGTGATGATGATGACGACGAATATTCTGATGATGATGATGAGGATGCTGCTGATGCTCACGACGATGGCGATGACGATGACGATGAAGATGATGTTGGCTGCTGGCAATGATGACAATGATGAGAATGATAGTGGTGATGATCATGATCATACTGCTGAGGATGGGGAGGAAGATGACGAGGACACGGAACATGAGGAGGATGAGTTGGGACATGAGGAAGAAGACGGGGATGAGACGGAGGTGAAGGCGGATAGTGGGGATGATGAGGATTTAGTGCAATGGTAAGCGAACGGATGATGATGATGACGATGATGATGCTGCTGGTAATGATGATCGTGCTGATGATGAGGACGATGATGCTGAAGAAATTGACGATGCTGTTTATGATGATGATGCTGATGATGATGCTGATGAGGATGCTGGTGCTGATGCTGATGCTGATGATGATGCTGACTACGATGATGGTGCTGACTATGATAATGATACAGATGATGATGAAGATGAAGATGATGATGATGATAATGCTGATGATGAGGACGACGATAATGCTGAAGAAAATGATGATGACGCTGATTATGATGATGATGATGATGATGATGATGATGATGATGATGCTGATGATGCTGATGATGCTGATGAGGATGCTGGTGCTGATGCTGATCCTGATGATGATGACGATGATGGTGCTGATTATGATGATGATGCTGCTGCTGATGATCATGATGATGATGATGATTATTGTGACGATGATGATGATGATGATGATGATGATGATGATGATGATGATGATGATGATGATGATGATGATGATGATGATGATGATTCTGATGATGATGATGATGATGATGATGATGAGGATGATTGTGACGATGATGATGATGATGATGATGATGATGATGATGATGATGATGATGACGATGATTCTGGTGATGATCACAGATCCGCAGAGGCGGCCCATTAGGATTCACGGCAACTGCGGCAGCTGGCGCAGAGGTCGCCGTGCGGAGCAGAGAGCACTGTGGCGCACCGACGGCGGCGCCCGGTCTCCCAGATGGTTGTCCTTCGGCAAGTGGTGCAGCTTGTGAGCGGTGGCGAGGCGGTGTGGACCAAGTGGCGAGGAGAGCCCTCGCCGTGAGCGAGGGGTCTTCTGCACGCCACCAGGCCCATCGGCGAAGATGCACCAGAAGTCTTACGACATGAGGTGATGCCGATGGCTGGCATCTGGGGCACTGCAGAGATGGCAAAATGGTGAACAAATTCATGCATCCGCGTTGTGGTGATCAAACCGTGGCACCAACTTAGGAGCACCAATGTCCGGGTTCGGTGTGGTAGGTCGCGTAGTCGAGATAGCCCTTCCGCGGCATCTGCGCTCGTCAACGTGTCATCGCTGAAGGAACTGCTCCAGCTAGAAGCAACCAGCGTAGGCCAGGAACATTTTCTGGCCCGCGCTGCGGATGCTGATGATGAGGGGGAGTAGGAGAATGACGAGGAGTGAGGAATGATGTGTGAGGAGTGGTGGGGCTGGAAAGAGAAGCGATGCGTAAGGAGTAATAATGATGATGATGATGATGATGATGATGATGATGATGATGATGATGATGATGATGATGATGATGATGATGATGATGATGATGATGATGATGAGGATGATGATGAAAATTAGGAAGAGGTGGATGGAGGAGGAGGATGAGGATGAGTAGGAGCTTGATTCTTCGCTTAAGAACAGGCGCGGGACCATCGACCTTCCAACCCCTCGCTATGGATCGGTTCTTCCTGGGTCCTTAAAACGGCCTCCGTAACGCGAATAAGGCGTGGAAAAGCCAGCCGCCACGACTTCTCCTTCGCGACGCTGGGAGTCCGAGGACGTAGCGCCCCCCGAAGCGCGCCGCCCTCCTCACGAGGAGCTGCCCGAGAAAGCCGATCGAGACGAGACTTTCAGCGGGGGCTTTGGCCCTTGGGTCCCCGTCGCTCTACTTCGCTGCCGCTCGCTGATCGCTCGCTCGGCTCCTGCTGCTGGTGCTTCTCCTGCTCCTCCTTCTGCTCCTGCTCCTCCTCCCACCCTGCTCCTGCGCCTCCCGGCTATGCGCCTCCTCCTCCTCCTCGTCCTCGTCCTCCTCCTCCTCGTCCTCCTCCTCCTCCTCCTCCTCCTCCTCCTCCTCCTCTTCCCCCTCCCCCTCCTGGCCCCACTCCCTCCTCCTCTCCCTTCTCCTCCCCTCTTCCCCTGTCGCTGTCGTCGTCGTCGTCGTCGTCGTCCTCCCCCTCCTCCTCCTCCTCCCTCCTCCTCCTCCTCCTCCTCCTCCTCCTCCTCCTCCTCCTAATCCGCGTATCAATATTCGCATTCGAATGCCTCCCCTCTCGTTGTCCTTCGCCTGCTCCGCCCCCTCCTCCTGCCGTGGGCCCACGGGGCAGGAGCCCCCACCTCCCACCGAGGGATCGGGGCAAGCTCCTCCGCTTCCTCCTCCTCCTCCTCCTCCTCCTCCTCCTCCTCCTCCTCCTTCTCCTCCTCCTCCTCCTCCTCCCCCCCACCCCCGAGGGCCTCCGGAGCGCGCGGTCGGCGCCGCGCGGCCGCCGGTGGCCGCTCGCGAACACGCAACAGACGTGCCTCCTTGCCTGGCCAGCCGCGTCCGCTGACCTCGGCACTGGAGCCGACATGCTGCAGAGGGCGCCCGGGGAGGGCGGCGGCGCTCACGTCTTGCCGCAGGTCTCCCACGATGCGGTCGAGGACTTTTGCTCCGCGTGTCGCCCCAGCGCCCCCGGCGGCACGATCTCCAGGTGCGAGCGGATAGAGTGTCGCTCCGCTCCGCAGGGCGAGGAATCGGGAAAGACTCGGGACGTGGCCGCCTGGGGACCGGAAAATGGATAGCGTGCCGCAACGAAGCGTGGTGGGCCAGAACCAGAGGCACGACAAGCTATCCCAAAATTCCCGACCGTATGCTCTTCTCAATCGAGGCGTTTTTCCCTCGACATCGGCCCCATGGGGCCGCTCTCGGGCCCTGGGAACATCAGAAATGGATCCAGGGCGAAAAAATACCCCCGGACAAGCGGTCGGATCGGGAAGTCTGCAGCGCGGAGGGGCAAAAATCAGATCGGCGGATGTCAGGGACTGCGGCGCTTGCGTCTTGCCGCAGCGGGGCACCAAGCTGATCTTGGGCGTCCCCAAGCGGTGCGGTCACGGACCGTGCGGTGACCTCGGGGTCTCCAACGACCTCACTGCCACAGTCCGTCACAGCATGGTTCTCGGACCTCGGAGGCCCCAATTGCTCGAGACATCCTCGGAGAATGGCCCAAATCCCAAAACCATGCGGCTATCCTGACTTCCCACTGACTCACCACGCGATGTGGCCCCCGCACCGTTTGGGGCCCCCCGATGATCACGGGACAAAAATCTGCCCAAGTCGCGAAAGGACTTTCAATCAACGCCTTAGCAATGAAGATACATATCATTGGCCGCTGGCATATTCCGACGCTCTCTGTGTGCAATATACGCGTCACATATGAAGTACATGACCGAACATTTCGGTGTATATGGAATAGAAGGGCACGTTTCCCGCTGATCTCAAGCCTCTTAGTTACCTGAGGGTTCCGCTGGGACACCAGACGGCAATCGGGGAATCAGACATTCCTGTGCGGCGCCTGCCGACAGGCCCATCCCTTGCTCGATCTGCCCACCGCAGGTGCCGATGGACCCGCTGCCACCTCGCGCCTGTCAGCCTCTGCGGGAGCTCGCCTGCAAAGGGAGCCCGCCCTGCCCCGCACACAGGCGCGCGCCGACCGAGGAGGAGAAGGGGGGGAGGAGGAGGATGGCGAGAAGGAAGGCTTGAAGACCTCTGACGCCGCCACGAGCCAAACAGTGACGCGCCCAGGCTTTCAGCGTTTCTTCGGCCTGATGTGCTCGTCTCGGACCCCAGGGCCCTCGGGCAGAGACGACCCATGGACGAAGAGCCAGACGGGTGGGAAAGAGGGGTCGAGAGCTCGGAGAGCCCTCGTCACGAACAAGCCGTGGCATCGGGTGCCTGGACTCTAGGCGGTGCCGCGGACACTCGGACAGCAGAAGCCACGGAGGAATCACCGGTATTCTCTGGGCGCAGCGTAACGCAACGGCCACGAGCAGCCACTAGAGAAGTGTGTTCGAAAAGAGAGGACCGGCCATCAAACTGGTAAGCGAGGTGTCGCTTGCCGTCATTCTCCCTGGGCAGCGGCTCAGCGGGCCCACCGTGAGACTGGATGCTGGCCGTACTTGCCACATTTGTGCTGGATAAGAAACGGCTAGAGCCATGCTTCTAACAAGCCAGGGAGTTGTTAGAACGAGTGGCCTTTGACAGCTCTATCCCGCATGCTCTGCAAGCTTGTGCGCGTCGCCAACATGTCTTGTTCATGACCCCGACTAGCTCCCCCCAGAGCCCTCCTCGTGGCCCGTCGTGCCTTACCTGCTGAATGCGAAGCCCCGCTAGCAACTAAGCAACGATCCGCCTGCGAAACACCGATGCGAAGAAAGGAACTTTCTGATACCCCGTTGAAGCGTAAAACCATCGCGATGGTTCGGCTTTACCTGCCTTGGAGCCAAGCGCACATCCTGGAAAAAAACACAGTTCCAATGGAATCACAGTTGGCCTCCTGTAGCCGACACGACTGTCTGAACGCTGAGGTGCGGCTCGCGGCTTGCAGGTCGTTCTCGCGCACGCGGGCCGGCGTGCCACGCCCGCGAATCGGCTGAATCACGGGAGCACCTATTTCATCAACCGTTGCTGGCCCACGGGAGTTACTTGGGTTCTAAGGAACTGGCCCTGGGTGCAGGGGTCAGCTGTTGTTGTTTGGCCCCGCATGGCGTCTTTGGCTCGGCCTTCTACTGGCCACTGTAGCTTCACACGCGTTGCTCCAATAATGAGCCATTTGAGGCGCGCGCGCTGGCATCATGCTGGCCTCTGTAGAGGACGTGCGCGCGCGCGCGCGCGCGCGCGCGCGTGTGTGTGTGTGTGTGTGTGTGTGTGTGTGTGTGTGTGTGTGTGTGTGTGTGTGTGTGCGCGCGTGGTGTGTGTGTGTGTGTGTCATCAGCTGCAACGCTGGCATCAACGCGTGCGAGAAGAGCGAGCGCCCCCCAGCGGGATGCGGCACGTATGTCGTGTGCATATCGTCACCCTGGTGCCCGCAATGGTGACGACATGCAGACGACATGCGCCCTTGGGCCCCTTTGGAGCCTGGCGGCAGGCGTTGTCGCCGCTCGGCGTGTCAGGGCGACGCGGGAGGCGAAGCTGGCGCCCGACGTCATCAGCTACAACTCTAGGATCAGTGTGTACGAGGACTGTGAGCAGTAGCGGGCCCTGGCGCTATTCAGCAAGTCGTGGGGGGCGAAGCTGAAGCCCGACGTCAGCAGCACAACGCTGGAACCAGCGCGTGCGGCATCACGATCGGTGGCAGCGGGCTCGGGCGCTGCTCAGCGAGATTCGAGAGACTACGCTGGAGCCCGACGCCATCAGCTACAACGTTGGAGTCAGCGCCTTTGGTCGACACCGACGCCGACGCCAACGCTGACTCTGACGATACCTCCGACGCCGACGCTGACGCTGACGCGGCCGCCGACTCGACGCCACTGACGCACGCACGCCTGGCCGCGGTCACCACTGACCCTCGGCCGCGCCTGCCAAGGCATCTCCCCCTCGCCGTTTCTCGCCTGGGCGCTCCATGGCCCGCTTGGGGCGTGGCTGCCCGATTCGCCGTGCGGGCGCTCATCGCCAGCTAGGCCCTCGGCACCGCCTGCCTCCGCACGCCTGGCCTGCGGTCTCACTGGCCGTCGGCTCGCCTGCCCGCCCTCTCGCCCCCCCCCCCTCCTGGGCGGCCCCTCCTGCCAGCCTGTCCTTCTTTGCCGCATTGCTGCGCCCTTCGGTGCCCCACGCCCCCCCCGCGCCCCTCTGCGCTCCCCCCCGTGCGCTCTCGGCTGCTGCCGAATGCTGCGCTCGCGCTCTCGCCGCCGGTCCCGCCGTGCGCCCCGGGGCCAGCCGTGCGGGCCCCACGGCATGCTGCGCCGCTCGCGCCTTCCCCCCCCTGGTGGCGGCCGCTGCGCTTACTATTGGCGGGCTGGTCTTGCCGCTCGCCTTTGGCTCTCGCGCGCCTCTCCTCCGGCCGCCCCCGGCTGCCGCTCCTCGCCTGGGTGGGTGCCCTGCCCCGCCACTGCATCTCCTGCCTCGGCAGGTCGGATTGCCGGCTTTCTGCAGGTGTTGTCCAAGCACCGCCTTGGAGCCCTCCTCTCTGCCGCCAGCAGGATTGTCCTGTCCCTCCTCCGCCTCTTCTTTTTCCCCCCGTCTGGTCTCTGCCGTCACCGCGGCCGTCCGCCCGGGGATCCCTCTTCTCCCTCCTCCCCCCCCTCCCCCCTGTCTTTGCGCGCGTGCCTCCTTGCTTCTCCTCTCCTTTCTCCTCGTCGTCGGTTTTTTGCCTCCTCCTCTCTCCTTCTCAGTGCCTCTCCCTGCCCTGGAGGCGTGGTGTCCTCTTTTTGCTTTCCCCCCGCTTTACCCTCCCCTGTCGGCCAGCCCGCCCGTCCCCCAATGTCCTGTCCGTCTCCCTCTCCTTCCTCCCGCGGCCGTCGCTCTTGGCTCCCCGCTTTCCCTCTCCGCTCTTGCTCGGCCCTCCTTGCCCTTGTCTTTCTGGCCCCCTGTCGTCCGACTTAGTGTCCAGTTAAGCCTCTTGCGGCTTGCGACGCTGGCCATTCTGCCACGCCTTTCGAGTTTGTACTTGCGTGCCCGTGTCCTTATTTGTGCGTTGACTCACTCCTATGGATGTCGTCGTCCGTATTCGTGTCCACTCAGGCCTGCCGGTTTCCAGCTGGCGGCGCTGGTGATCTCACCATTCTGCCACGCCTTCGAATTTATAGCTGCGTGCCTTGTGTCCTTACTTGTGCGTTGGCCGCACTCCTGGGGGCGTCATTTGCTGCTTAGCTTACTCTCGTTAGCTCACTGCTTGAGGATCGGCCGTGCGGCTTCCTACGCGCAACCAAAAGTGTGTGCGTGCGTGCGTGCGTGCGTGCGTGCGTGCGTGCGTGCGTGCGTGTGTGTGTGTGTGTGTGTGTGTGTGTGTGTGTGTGTGTGTGTGTGTGTGTGTGTGTGTGAGAGTGAGTGTGTGAGTGAGTGAGTGTGTGTGTGTGTGTGCGTGCGTGCAACAAGGTCGGCAGACGTTCGATTGCAATTTGGCTAGCGCGCCCCGTTAATGTCTCACGAGCGTGTAGTTCGTCGTAGGGGTGGAATGGACATACGGGGTGACCGTGTCGAGAAGTGCTCTCCACGCAATGTACTGTCCTGCCCTTCCTTCCGCTACGCCGTTCGCCCTCAACACATTTTTCGAACTCACCATCTACGGTCAAGAACTCGCACTCGGGAACTGGGACGTGATTAGCGTGTCGCGCCGAAGCGTGGTAGTCCAGAAGCAATGGCGCGACGCGCTGGACCAACACTTCTGAGCATGGCTGCAAGCGACGCTGTACCGCCCGGATGCCAAGGAAACGGGCCGCCGACCACCGTCACGTGCGGAACCCAGACTTGCGACCTGATTGCCCACAGGCTCCCCTCGTGGTCCCTCCGTGCGTGGGTGGGTGCCCCCGCATCCGACTCGGTGGCCAATGGCCCGTGAATCCCTCTTGGCATCTCGTGGCGTGGTGTCCCTGCAACCGA